CACTATTTGGGAAGCCTGAGGGGAAGAGACCGCTGGGGAGACCTAGACGTAGATGGGAGGATAGTGTCAGGCGGGATCTATGGGAGATAGGAGTTAAAGGCGATTGGATTTTGTTGGCCCAGGACAGGGTCCGGTGGAGGGCTTTGGTTAATTCGGTGATGAACCTTCGGGTTCGGTAAGCCATCTGGTTAGTCAGTTAGTTAGTAATGAGTCTTAGAATTTCATATAAGCAGGAAATTCTTTGATAAGCTGGGAGATTGTCAGCTTTAAGCAAAGAATAACGCACCTTAGAGTTAGTTCTCAGTGGATATGGCGTCTTCCATATTTATTATTTATTTAGTGTTCTGTCTGACGACAGGTCCATATGAACAGGATCCTTCCATCCTTTTCTCGGACTGGGACCTGTTCATATACGTTCTTGGCAGATGATCCAGAAGTGGTTTGCCATTGCCTTCTTCTGTGTGTGAATGGAGTAATTGTTGGGATGCCAATGAGGAAAACTCCGTGTTGCCTAGGCCACGGCCTTGCCCAACACAAGTTATAAATGCGAACCCGAGACCCCAGGATTACAAGGCCAGCGTCCTAACCGCTAGACCACCGTGGTGGTGGCGTCTTCCATACGGCTAATAAATCTGTCTGCAGGAACTTAAATCAATTACGTATGTTTGGAGTTTCTTGACATTTCTGTATAAACAATTGTTAAACCATATGTGTCACGTTTCGCCACGAAACATAACACATTGCATGGAATCACACCACTCGCCTAGAGACAAATAACAACTGTTCTTTTCCAAACGCTTATTTTTGGCGACATCTGACAGGTTGAAATGTCTGTCTCGAGATTTCTGTCAGTCTTTCTACTGGCGAGACCTGAACATTAGGACATATTTAGTTTTCTCCGCACTAAATATAAAATAACGTACGTTAGGAAAACCTGTGCAAGCCCTTCCTTCAAAGTCTCGTCCTCTATCAACTCATATTTGTGCCAGTAGTTTAACTCTGCTTTTTAATAAACCTTTACATTTGTCGTAGATCACGTACTTGAAAACGACAAGATTTTTGAATTAACGATGACGTTAAACAAGGTGCTTGCTACCACCAGGTCATGATCTTCCCGTCCCGTAAGTATTATGACTAAACTATGTAAATTATGTAATTTGCATGTGGTTTATGTCCATTATATACAGAAATAACGTTTATTTAAAGTTGCTTAGGAAGATTTTTTAAATATAATAAATTCTTCTCGTGCTACCAGCCGTGTAATGTGGTTTATTGAAGAAAACATCAACGTCTTCGTCCTCTTGAGGTCGCCGTGGACGCTTCAGATTATACAAGATGTCCAAAGCTATATAGGAAGAGTAACGGTAGAATAGTGAAAATTTCATAATGAGAATGATTACAATTCGAATTTGATTTCATCATAACAGTGTTACAGTGACAATTGACTTTTGTTAGTAGACGTGTGAAATCCAATAACATTTTAGTTAATGCCGTGGAAATATGCAGCTTGGAATATAAATAAAATGTAGAATAATAAGACTAAATTAGCATTGACGGACTTTCGTGAAAATTGTGAAGCTGCTAACGTGGTTGGGTAATCAGTGAAAATGATTCAGTACAACATTTCAAAGGGATTTCAAGAAACTTATTTATCATCATTTAAGAAACTGTCATCATATACACTTGCGGTGTGGAATGCAGTCTCGAGTTTACGCGAAATTATAAATAGGAAAAATGTTTACCAACATTTGATTGTTTTCAAAACCACGGTTACTGCAGTAAAAGAGTAGTGAAATGAAGAATGTAACAGATTATCCGATAAGATCGTCGCACTGTCCAAGTAATTAAAAAAAATCTTGTATTTATTTCTTGTGTCATACACACGTTCTATAACACGAGTCTATTACCTAAGAAACTCAGATTAATTTGAGAACTAATGACTTGGTGGCTAATAATTTTGATTATTACTGACGTATTTGATTTTATTTCTAGCAGTTATTTTTTCGAATATACGTCATTAATCTCTACAAGTTCCGAAATACCTTCCCCCGAGCTACTTTTGTGCACAGAAACATTTTTGGGCGAGTGCCAATTCTCGTGTCTCTAGATATCTTGTAGCTCCTTTCTTGAAGGTGCCTGCTTTTAGAACATACAGACCTGAGCTCTTGTATAGTTAAGGTGTGCTGTTTATACAGCCATCACTTACCAAGCGTCAACTTGGCGTTATTAAGCCAGACAATCAGTTCATATTACACTTTCAAGCCTATCTCCTGAGGATGTTTGTTTGGTAGGAAATTATCCATTGTATGTAATTAAATAATAAATAAACATAAAAAATGACACCTTTCAGAGACTGACGTTTCAAAGGTCCCTGCTGCATCCATCATCAGGGCAATAACTCAGAAGACAGCCATCTTTGATTATATCCAAAAGTTATTCTATGTAATTTGTGAGTTGTTTTAGAAAACATCGATCACTTTAAATGTGACAAACTCGTGGAATTGTAATGTGGTTAAAATGACATAGAATCCTCTAAATTCCTGGTAACATTCTTTTTGTTTGACGTCCATTTTCGTCATCCAATCCAAAGTTACTTCCTGTTAGTATACACAATGGTGTTCTCTCTGCACCACCAAACCGCAGCCTTGGTCTCAGACGAGAGGGGTCTACTGTAGTTTTGTTCAGACACGAGAACATCTGTTCTTACATGTTTATACGCTATTCAACAGAATGACCTTCATCGAAAATTAAACCAGCATCGGTAGCTCAGAGTGTCTCAAAATGCGAGATCCATCTTTATGTCTTTCCTTTCACATCTATACATCTATCTAACCGGTTGTCTATTATATATCTATGTGCTAATCTATATATCTACCTACCTATATACTTATTTATCAATCTACCTACTAAAAGATCCATGCATAACTTTAAAGTCTGCTCTTAAAAAATAGGTATAATTATTGCTTGGGATTAGATTTGTCGACATTTCTTTACTTCTGTACGTAAGTAACTAAAATTGGATTAACGGATTTGGAAATTTGGTATTCACATGCGTTGGTAATTAATTGTTCATCGACGTAATTCTTTTACGGCTGGGGGGAAATGATAAGTGTATGAAAATCATTGTAGAAAAACGTGAAATGGAAAGATCTTTTGGGAGACGTGGACGTAGATAGGAGAATAATATTAAATTTAATATTGTATTTAATAGTTGTTCCAGTACTTAGCATCATGCATGAAGACGTATGAGGGAATAGCGAAACTTTATTATGAATCTGAGTGGCCAGTTTTACGTTCTGGTAACTTCATACCCAGAGAAGGGCCCCAGAAACCAGGGTCGCGATGGGGAACAGAAAAATGCACCTGACGGGAATCGAACAGTCATTAATTAGGTTTCTCGACTGAGCTATCGTATCTCAGAGGAAAATGTGAAGTTATGGTAAGGTTCCAGGCTTTAGTTAATTGGACGGTAAAATTTTGTGTTAATGTTACCGCGTAGAATTTATCGAGAAAATTAATAACTATCAGTTTTTTCAAGGAAGATATTGTACCTTGAAGTCAGTTACTACATTTTTCCCGTACGAAGTGCAGTGTCTAGCTGAGGACCTAACAGTTTCTCTACCATTAAATATCCCTGTGAATGTTTTCATTTGCAATCCGATGTTGACTCTACCCGTTTACAATCTGTTAATTAATTAAATTTAACTGAACTAAAAACTTGATTCTTTCTCCTACTTGGATAACGAACATTCTGA